CCCATTTAGTGAATTTTCTTCAAGAAAATTTGCTACTCATATGTATTCTTATACGTAGAAGTCCCGAGCTTCACACTAGGCATTCAATCAGATACCTGGCTCGCAGCAGAAAACACACAAAGAATCGAAAACAACCTGAAAAATTCGAATGTACAAAAAATAATTTCTTCTAATAAAATATTGATATCGCAATACCAGATGTAATCAGCGGGTTTGTTAACCGACTGATTATAGTACATTGTAGTATTCAGAGCTGGGGCTCCAACAGCGAAATCCAAACAGCGAGATATCGTTTTACGTCATAAGTTCTAAAGACAAAAGTACAAGACCGAAACATGCGCAAAGCATATGATGTACAGAAAATCAGACATATACATATATATATATATATATAATTGATGAAATAGGACGTCTATTGCGATCAATACTTCCATAAATTTTTATTATCTAACCAACAGACTAGAAAGTTATTAAAAAGAAGCACAGTCGGTAGCTTGCAACATTACATAAGGTCTAGACCGTGTCAATTTGCGAATAAATCTCACAGTGATTTTAAGCATCATTAACGCTCAGAATTGAAGCTGATAATGAACTTGGATTAGAAATAACGGTTTCTCAGACGCTAGGGAAAGACATTTTGACTACAAATGTTTTGGCTCTCAATATCAATCTTGATTTTTTTCTCGTACATCAAGATGCGTATTGTCCTGTTTTAGTCTTTTAGCTTACACTTGTTCCCCTTCTCCTAGTTAAAGCTATAGCGTTTGGATTATAGTGCGAAAATTGGAGATGCTCTCTACTAACTTCCGATTATTCAAGTACGCAAAATTTACTTGAAAAGTTATAAAAGTTTAAAAAAAAACACCTCAATATGAAATGGCGGTACTTGCCAAAAATATTCCATTGATAGAATTGTACGTGTATTATCGTTGGACGCTCAGTTATTATTTGTCCCAAGCCTTGCGTGCATTGATATTAATGTTTTTGCAAAATCGAAAAAATTAATATTGAACTATTACTACGTTTTTGTGTTTGAAAGGCAACATGCCTGCGCAAATTGATGATACCCTTTACGAGGACTCCGTTGATACGATGATACTGTTTATTATTACTCCTATTGTTATTAAGAAGCTAAATTTTAACTTGACCTTATCAAATTGGTTGACGTTGGACGTGTGGGACGGCTGAAAAGCTAACCACTTTCGATAACATCAAAATAGTTCACCAAACGCCGCTAGACGATCGCTAGTTAGATAGATGCCAGAGGTCATGGGCATCTCGAAATTACGTATATTCACTACAGATTTGGACACGAAAAGCTTAACCACCGAGGCAAGTGTACAGACTTACGTCAAAAAATGAAACAGTATGTGAGAAAAGAAAAATACGGCCTATGCACATAGCGGGGCATCTAAATTGGGATTTTTCTCCGTGGATTGCTTTTAAGAGTGTATCCCAATGTATATCTAACAGATGTTTTCCCAGCCTTTTCGCAAGTATTCATTCGGAACCAAATGCCAGTTCTGTTTCACGAGATTTTGATTTGTCAGTCAAGAAACCCGACAAAAGTACAAGCCTCTTTCGGGTTTCTTGATTATCAAATGCCTAACGATACCTAGCAGCCGATTTAATAATTGATCACCTATTTATTGACAATAATATGAAATAACTTATACAGCAATCGTTCTTGTCATCATATGCTGGGTGCCAAAATAGCTATCGGCTCCCCCCGCACAAGCCGCGTTGTCTGTCTTCACCGCTGCGGTTAATTTCTGAAAAAATCTCTCCTGGCCTCTAGAAACAAGGATCATGTACCAGGCGATCTGCAACGCCGGTAAACAAAGAGCTTAACTTGCGTGATTACAGCGCTAAAACTTAACGAAGGTTGTCTATAGGCATGAACGTAAACTGTACGCTTCTTCGCTTCACCAGAAGCCTTTTATCTCTCTCGTCAAAGTAAAGGCCAGTCATATAATTGCGTTTTATTATCGGAAACCACTTTCTTTTTATGTACATACAGTAAATATATATTTTCTTTAAAAATATTAGTTAGGTTGGTTGAATATGGTGAATCGACATTTTTCGATTTTTTTTTTGGTGAATCGACAAGGCGACGATTTTGATTGATCTGCCGGAATACGCTCAGAGAATAGTGAAGCTTGTTTTCTTTTGGAAAAAAAAAATAGCCTTGTAACAAAATTTTGTCTAAAAAAGGTTACTAAATAAAATAAATCTAAAGTTTGTATTATCTAGACCACGTCGCTATATGGGTGCCTTGTTCAGATTTTTAGGTTGTCTTTATAGGAACAGAAGGACTTAGTCTCTCCTCTTGGTTCTCTCTTTCCCTGTGCAATACCATGCTGATTCCGATATGCAAGTCTCCTACAGTTATGATCTACACCGTTTCTATGGGCTTCATTCATTTCTGATGCGGATAGTAGAAAGTAATACTGTTCTAGTCCCCTGTTTGGGCGCTTTGTCTACAATTTACTTTGTTCCCAACTAAAGATTACATAAGAACGTGGTTACCGTCATACTCAGGACTTCTTAGAGGGGCTTTCGGCAAAAACGTACAAAGAGGGGAACCGCCCTAGGCTTACTGCTTAGGGATCCTCATGTTCTATTTATTCACGAAATAATTTGTTGGAGGCTTTGGAAATCTTAATACATTAAAAAGGTCTCATGTTTCCGACCAAATTTCTACTTACCTGTACAATTCAATAGTCTTGCATGTTGTATTTAATTGGTATATAAGCAAACGCTCTTATTTAACGTTCGTCTCTCCTTTTTACCGGTCGCCCCTTTATTTACCTTCATATACCCTTGCCCTTTGTATCTCGGTTGAACTTGACTCCGAGTCCGTGCTTCAAAGATAAAGGTTACAGGTGAAAAAAAAAGCGTATTTTCCCTTTGTCGAATTTAAAAACTCCTCGAACGACTTCGAGCCTTCGAGAGAAATATACTATTTCTCTCGAAGGCTCCCTAACGGACAAGTTTGCTTAAAGGGATTTGCAAGGTTCAAAAATGGAGTCGTACACTTGCAAAGTGTACCAAACATGGTCGGCCACCCAAGCTCGACGAGGAACTCAGATGGTTAAAAACTTGTTAATTGGCCGGAAGGATCACCTGCGAACAGTAGATTAGACAGGCATCTTGAATGTATGAATATTATTAGAAATAAGGATTCTGGCTGTGCACAACTAATGTTTCAGCCAGCACTGGCTAACTCGCGATTATAATGGAAAGTTTCCACACAGAATTGTTACGGGTTATAAGAAGTGGCGCCTGCACGTTGACATAAATCAGGAGAAGGAACAAACAAGTTTTAAGGATAAGCCTAAGCGTCGGGTTAGGCCAAATTATCATTGCCAAAAATGCCATGATTTTCGTTGATTGAGGTTGGGACGGTCCTATACATTAAGAATGTGCCTAAGAACAACACGGCAGCCTAGTTGACTCAATTGCGGGGGGCTGTCCAACAGAGACCCTGTAGACAAAGCAAAGTTATCGTTCTTCATGATAACACAAGTCGTGGAAAACTAAGGTTGTCACATCGGTCTTTAATAGCTTGAGCAGGAGATTCGTTTGCACCTACCTTATTTTTCAGATTTCTTGCCTATTAATTAGCACCTTTTCCGGTCATTGATAAATAAATCTAATAATCGCACCCTTAACAGAGAGAGTCTCAAAGGCTGACTGGCTCCAGACCCAACAGTGTATGGGGACAATAAATAAATGGGTTGAAATATGAGACCAGGTGATGGCCAATATATAATTAATTTGTTTATTGCTAGAATTTGACTGAAACGGTACGTTGTTATTTAGGTGAAAAAGTGGCCTTAATCGTGTACATACTGCTGACAGTTGGTCGAGTGTCGTACTCTGAAACAACTTTCTGAATATGTATTTCTAATACTTCTATCATGTGGTACTCATAAAAAATTTGCGGAAATCCCATCACACTTGTCGTAGCCTCGTGATAAGGCTCAGCCTCGACCTAGACAGTCGCCTCCGTGTCATTCAGCTAGCGAGGACGAATCTAATTAAGTGTTTATATAGCATCTCAATACGTGACGAGTAAAATGTGTTCAACCATTAAAGCATCACGCAAAACCCAATAGCTCAGATGCTTGGAGATAACTTGGGTAGCAAATAGTGGATTAGCATCGGCGTTAAACAGCGGTCTATTCATCTCGCCCCGTCAAATCGGTTAGACACATGTTAAACACATGTGGCGCCATCTAGCCGCAGTTAGGAGAACCCGTGCTAGTGCCTATTCGAGTAGTCCTAAAACGAGCCGTCGACGAACATCTTTATGACGAATCCAAATAATAATTATAGTATATACAATAGAGTCCTATAAATGTAAATATGACATACTCACAACATCAAATGGACGCAAGGATAGGTCTTTTTTGCACATTCTGAAAGTTAATTCAGCCAGTAGCAGCAACGTTTGCCCTCTTAATTCTACACCCTCTTCATGAATCGACTGGTGTCTGTTTTACTTAAGATCTTTATAGAGCAGCTTGTTTATTACATTCTGCAAGATTTTGGCAGTTTAAAACTATTATCATTATTATTATATTTTTTAGGTAAGAGACTTAGGAACTACCAGCTTCTCGTGTGCCAGCCTTAATGTAGAGGCTTAGCGCCGAAGTCATTTAATACTGTCAAAAATTACCAACTGATTGAATTACCTGCATTCTCTAATTAAAAGCAAACCTGAAATAAGCCTGACCAGTTAAGTAGCTGAACAAGGTAATCAGTGAGTGCATTGAAGTTATTTACTTAACCCTTGTTTATCCACTCTTGCTGATAATGATCTATAATATATACGCATCTACAACACGGTAATATAAGATGCGGACTTCGCGGTTTGTACGAATCTAGTTGAGCTAATGAAACTTTAATTCGGATAATTTGCCACGTTCCTCTGAAATGGTCAGCAGAGGCAACGAGCAGCTTGATATTTATCATTATTTTCTCCGCACCTGGAGTGCCTGCGTCCGTGATTATGTTCGGAGAAGCCCTGTTCCGTACAAAGCCTATGATGTAATCTATGCTTCTCAAGGTGAGTCGTGACATATCGGTTTAATCCCATTTGCTGTTCCTTATCGCACTCGAATTGATTGTCATCAACGTCCCTATCCGTCTTTGCCAGTTTTCGATCCCAGTGTCTAAGGTTGGTTTTAAAGCCCTCTGTTACTGTGTGCTTGAAGCGGTAGTGCAAGTCCTCAGACAAAAGGTACACGAAGTGATCATGAAGCCTTATGTCTAATTCTAGTGCTCTTCTATAGAAGGAGGCGTTGACGCGATTTATTTCGAGGTTCACCACCTTCAGATCTTCTCAAACATTGTGATCGGAGCGATGTCGAGATTGAACAGGCTAAAAGTGGTTATAAGGAATAAACAATTAAGCGATTTAATTGCTTGTGCGCCCGAAACTGCCTTTTTACATTTTTCGGAGATGTGCACGGTGAATTTCTGCCATTGACGGAAATGAACGATTTCAAATACACGAACCGGTTCACAAGAGCAAGAAGTGACATACTTTGGTGCAAAGTGTCAATGGCTGCTGTCCTAACTTCCACCTTGATCAGTGCCGACTCTCTGGTTGCTGCGTGTAGCTGGCTTAGAGTCTGTTCCACCTCGGACCTGTTCGACCCATCCTAGGATCAGTGAGTTGTCAGAATACGCGATGACTTCGACTAACTTCCTCAGAATTAGGTTGCCCTACGAGCAGGAGTTGAACTAGCATCCAAGTCGGAAGCGGTTTTCCTAAATGGAAATAAAAAATACGCATAATTGAACGTCACGGTGGAAATAAAGAAAGACAAAACGTTGCCCACAGCGGTGAGCCATACTTTATAAGGCCACGATGATATCGACGCACGTACCGCTGTGGGAGAAAAAACCTTGATAGAACTGGTAAAGGGCAAAGACAGCATCTGTGGACCGTAAGAAGGTAAACGGAGGATGCTTATTGTAGTATCGGAGCCAAAACTCCGATACTACAATAAGAAGAGGACCGCCTGCAATCAAAGACCTAACGAAAAAATTATTTCGCAAGGCTCAGGAAACGTGAGTACGTAAAGTAACTTAAGCGTATAGCATTTGTAGCATACAGCTAGTACTCGTATTGACAGGTTGAATTCTTTAAGACCTTATAGCTAAGAAGAATCAAGGAATAGTGGCAAAACCAGTAATATATCTAAGGAAGCTAATATTAGACGAACGATTTGTCGTTTGCTGGTTTGTTCATACCAAATACCAGGATGAGGACTGAAAAGCTGGGAAACAAATTAACCTTCTACCTAAGGCAGTTCTTTTTGGAATACGAGTATTTTCATAACTATCTGCATCTCATCAAATAACAAAAAAAAACCCATCGAACTCTTGCATTCCATGTTTCGAGTTTTACGTCTAGTATCGCCGTTAGGCATTCCATCTGACGGCTGGCTCCCAGCACGAAACGAAGACTGTCTATGCTCGGATTCGAACGTAGACCACAACGTGTCCCGAAACGGTTCTGCCAACCTTGGCTTTGTGGCTGCTTCACAGACGGGGTTCGGGACTTCATAGAACATGAAATCAAGCAATTAGACTCACCATGGAGCTCATGGTAGAGATAAGAAGGCTCCTCAAAATAAGGCTCACGAGGCTGACAGCGAAGGACGACGCCTAAGTGTTACATACCCGGGCTGGTAAACAGCTTTGCCGGGACGGCACAACTCAGATGACCCTAGCCTAGATACTAAATGAGTCTAGCCACTTCCTCTAAGCAGTCTGCGGCATTATTAATTGATTGTATAGGAGTGGTACACAAGGGAAGAATCGAGACTTAGTGGCTGGTGATTTCAGCGGAATGAAGTTCACTCGTCGGGCTCAGCACTACTCTTATTAGCTAACGTTAGGAGGACATTGTTTGGTTCCCGTACGTACAAATCGTTACTCACACCCTGTTCAAATAAGAAATTTGCTTCATGAACTAGAATTGTTACCTGTAAAAAATCATTTCGATAGTTATAACTTTTTTTTTTGTTTGTTCTTTTACGGGAAGGTTTCGTCGTCGCTGCTTTCAGATCGACAGACACCGGGTATAATTGATGTACTTTAGCTGGTGCTCTCTAAACACATAGTAAATTCCATGCAGGACAACTTAACAGGATGTACTGCACAATCTGCGATGCTGCGCTCTTTTTTTGCGCGTTGCCAGGTAAATTCTGCTATTCCCAGCCAACAACGGGCAGCAAGTAAAGGCGTACAAATGCAGTCGGACGTTACCAGACGTAACCAATTATCGTCCCTAAGCGAACTCCCTTCTCAGTGTAACGTGCCCCTCCCATTTCTGAATCGTCGTTTGACTAGCCTACTCCTGAGGTTCCAAAATTAGAATTAGAGCCATTTAGGTCAGGGTTTCAAATATACCAGTCTGAAAGGTATATGCTAGACAGTATCATTTTCTTTTTTAGCTACCAATAATTCAAGTTTAGCCATTTGCATATCTGCAGAGTGCGACGGCGCAGTTACCCAGACATGAAAATTCTTATCAGACTGTCATCCATTGAACACGGACTATAGGCAGGTCGTCCATCCCGAATAGTCTCCCTGCTTCTGTTGAAGTTCAGAATATGTTTCCTACAAGTGTTATGGTCCTTCGGACTATTCGAAGGTGCATATGCACACAGCCATTGGCTATAAAATGCCATAGTATCCACTTTATAAGAAGCGTTATTTTCCAGGGTGAATAGATATACTAATAATATGGATAATGTGATATTTTCGTCTTTTATTTAAGTTATCTCGGCAAAGCTATTTACATTTCGCCGCGACACGCCTGAACGAAAAACATGCCTCCGCTTGCCTAAGTTACATGTTACCGTGTGTTATACCAAAAAGAAATGTCACAATCCTCGCATGGGGTAAAATCTGAAGATTCTAACGAAGAAATAACGGGTTTGATACGTTGGCAATATATACTAGCGAATATGATACATTTTTGAGAAACCTGGGACTTGGTACATATAACTGCAAGAAACGTAATGACTTTAACGTAGAGATTACCTGTTACACCGCAAGCTCGTCTGAGCGAGCCGAGGGGATCGCAAATCCTCACCCGACACACACAGCATTCTGCCTTGCCCTGAGATTCTGCTATACGCAAATAGGACTATACGAAGTGGCCTTTTTCCTTTGTTCTACTAGAAAAAAAAGAAGGATATATTCAAGTTGGTCAAGCAAGGTTTCGAACCGGATGTTACACATACGTTTCTTATACTGAAAGTCTTTGCCCTTTGCGAGCCCGTATTCGGTACAAAAGCACATGCTGGAAATATATTGGATTGAAGCTCACGTAACCGTCAACTTGGCTATCTAGATGCTGCATTTGTTTATGGGCTTCAACAATTTCAGAATGATAAAACTTCGACGGCATGTCGACGTGACAACAGCAGCTCCATGAAGACTGGATACGTGTTCTTCACGTTTGTGAATGCGGTAATTGATTACTCATTTGCGCATTCATGTCAGTATGCCGTGACCTCGTTAAAAAGTCAATCGTTCTGTGCATGTCATACAAGATAATGTCCTGCCTGAAGGTAACCAATACGCATATATACTAATACAGCAGTCAAATGAAAACGACTAATTCGAAGCAATAATGATAATTACAAAATGCAAAACGAAAAAAAAATCTACTTTTAATTGGCTGTTTAGAAAAACACTATTTTTCCTTGATAGAAGGTCACATCCGTAGTGGTCTAAGGGCGAATTCGTAGTAACGTCACGTACGAACGTGAGTCACAATCGATCTTCAACAACTTTGCGACCACGCAAAATACGCCACAGAGGAAGATTATTATTATTATTAATTCAATGAAACAACATGAGAGTTTAGATCTACAAGTATCGATCGGTGCATGATGAACATGCAAAAAAACACTGGTGGACGTCGCTGTCTGACAAACGTTTACTTCACTACCTTAATTGTGTCGTACTACCTAGCTGCCAGCGGATGGACCGTAACTAAACGTTTTGAGCCTTGCGTAGGATCTCACCATTCACCTTCATCTAGTTGGAATTTATTTGTGTAAGTAACAGAAATCACGTTTCTCTGTAGATGCTTTTGCTCCTATAGGACCAAATAGGTTTACTTTTATCCTTCTCAAATGATTTGATATTTAATATGAGTTTAGAAGCGGAAACACAAGACTGTTAGACAACTTGAAGTTGGCAATACATAGAAATGATGATTGAAGTCGTAGTTAAGTAACTTGTCACGTTCCCTGTAGATTCGAATAACAATTATGAGTTCTACCAGTGAGCGCACCAGAATACCGGAAGTCACTAAGCTACCCTTACGGTATCACGCAGATTAACCAAGATTAAGGGGAACTTTTTCGGTCTCACTTCACACAGTAGGCGGTAGGGGACTAATGAGCTTGTTTTCGTCCGTGACCGCTTTCGGCCTCTTCGTCATTGACAAATATCTTGGAACAATTTTGTATATTTTGAATTCACATGGGTTTTATTACGGCTACACAAAACTAACCACGATAACGAATAACGGGAATAATGTTATGATCTTATTGATTTTTTGCCTAACGAACTCCTCTGAAGAAAGGAATGGCCCAAGGATGTTTCCATACCGCCAATATGATTTGAGTTTTTACTTATCTCTGAAACTAAAGAACGATAATTTTGTGCTTCAGTAGAAGTAGCTGGGCTGACATTTCGAATCACCGTTATTGACACTATATATATAACGTTCCTGCCTTGTTGTAAACTTCAAATTTTCAGCCTAGAAGTTATAATCAGGGATTAACCCTGAGCAGAGTACTAAAATCTTTTTCGTCCACTTATTTCTGGAATAGATCACTTTTAAATAAGCCATCATTATACTAGCCATGGTATAAATTTGTGAATATGCGAGCATACGAGACCAGAGATTTTGTTTCGCGTCTCAAGCTCTGTTCGCGAAAGTTCTGTTATTTGTTGAGCTGATTTCTTCACACCAGAAAGAAACTAAACGTTACACTGCCAGCGTAGTTCTTCGTGAATTCTATTCTCAAAGTTCTAGGAGACGTACATGGCCTTTGACTCTAACGAACTATTTACTCTCCTTCAAATGAAGTCGCGAAGTATTTCTGGAAATAGTCAACGTACGAAAATTTCTAAGTTGAAATAAGGCGAGCACAATCACAAACTCTATTGGATCTTAGGCTGACTCCAGCATTCTTTCATTAAGGTCTTACACGGTTATGAAGGAAGTTCATTTTGGCTGCATCTATTGTATCCTGGTAATGTAGTTAGTTGCAGAGATCCGTAGAGTAGCGTTGATACATATGTGCTGTCGTTTACCTATAGTGGAATTACAAAGAACGAAAAGAAGGATTTACCATCCCAGTTATAGTACGGTACAAAACGGTGCGCCACTATATTATAAAGCTCGAGGGAACGCACGCAGAGCTTTTAACAAAAACGAACGATCGAGGTACGGCGTGTCAAACCCAACAAGCAGAGAACAACAGCATCAATCTTCCGGCAAAAATATGTTTCCTTATACATAATGATTTATTTGCAACGCATATAACCGTTCTACAAATTCAGGCTCAAAAATATTGTGCTACAATATATATATATATACACATGGCGCGAATGGGGCTCTTTTCAAAGCATCCATTCTACTTGTTTAGAAATAGGGTAGCTTGTTTGCCTATTGCTTCGCTCAAAAACGTCTAGGCCACGAATAGTTTTTACATATATTGAGTTGAAATATGTCGAAATGCATTGCTCTTTATAGACTTTTTCTAAAGGAGTGTCCTTCAAAGCCACCTGTTTTTTAAAGATTTGAGTAATGCTGTTTATACACGATAGAAGCCACCAGGTATCAGGCAGTGAAGATAGTTGATACAGGCTTGCTACATTATTGTATAATGCATTCTGTTACTGTATAACGGAACATCGCGTCCGCGGCTCTGCTATCGTCTAAGACGATAGGCTCGTTAGGCAGTATTTGTGTCCACCTTCATAGGTCAACATCGCTATGCTACCAAAAGATGAGAGACCGCTGTTTCTAGTGCTTTCTAGAGGATATCTTTATCTATATCTGTTCAGATCTGACACTTATATACTTCCGCGAGCATTATTGGAATTTGTCACGAAAATGTATCCAGGCCCGTCGTAACTTTCAGGAATTGCTGAGGGCAAAAGATGATGGGCTTGCTACGTATGAATCGAAATCTATTTCCAGAATTAGAGTGATTCAATCCTTTAACATTCACGAGTTATTGGTCACAGGATTACGTTTGACGCATCTATAGTTCACCAGGCGCATGTGTCAGATTCCTTAATAAACAAAGGTTATCGGTAAAGATAGTGCTAAGCAGGTGGGTTAATGCCCAAAGGCTGCTGGTCTCCTACAAGCTCTTGATGTAAATGATATACTGTGCAATATATTACGGTCCCAACAGATAATTAGCTATGATTTATACCGCCCGAAATACATTCGCGCATATACATTCATCATTCAGTAGCTCGTGAGCTTTATAGAAGATTTCGTTTCCATGACGTAAATATGGGGGCACTGCCTACCGGCCCACTTTTTATATTTTCCCAGTTGGCCAAATCTCAATCAGGCTGACGCTGGCACTTATTGTACAGATATACTTCTAATGATATATAGCTGTAAGACTTCAGCAGAGGTTTACTATGCTCTCGTTGAAGATGCCTACGACTTTGCAGCGCTTTCTGGGCGACCAGAGAACGGCTGGCTCTTGAAAGCGACGCACCCTTCTGAGATACAAGTTATGCATTACATATATGGGCTTCCCCTTCACAACAGCTGCGTTAATGAACCAAATCAGGGCATCTCACATCAAAACAACAAAAGTAAAAACACTCTGAAACAGCCCGTTGCTTCTGTCATTAGAAAGCTTTGACTCTTAATTGAGAGTCTTTTCGGTTTAAAATTGATAGATGGCGTACTCGCGGGGTCCGCCTCGCGCTTGTTTTGTCTAACTCATTACCCTTTTGCAGGGAGTTCATGACCCGGTTCTAACATGTTTACCATAGGATTCATTCAATTCTAGGTTTAACTCGCTTGTAATGGCTTCTTTTTTTTATAACGGTATTACGAGATTTTTTCAGTGCTGGCTGATTGACTCCATTTTCATGATACACGCAAATAGAGGACGGACCCTTAAAGGAATCGGGTGAACTTCGCCCGACCCTTATTAGACGTCACATAGTTTGCCAAAAGATTGATTTTGTTCGTAGAACGTTATTAAGACTGAAGGGTTTAAAAAATGTTGTTCTTTATAATGTTATGACGAACTAATCAGCGTATGTCATCGAAAGCATGGTAGACGTCTTTAAATTGCACGCGCGGGGCAATCCCGGTAATTCTAATATTAAGTGAATAATATATATATTACTGTATGAATCTTATTACTTTTATAGAATTGCTGGCTGTATATGTTAGAGATAAGAAAACAAAGTATAATGAAAAGAAGTACTTTCACGATTACAGTAGAGGTGTCCCCTTATGACTCGACAAAGTGAGCATGATACACAGGTGCTGAAGACAGCAAGAGATTTTGTCGCAGGTACCGATCTTTTAAGCAACCTGGCTATCAGCCTCACCGAAATCGTGGGCGGCGGGGGGG